TGAAGGGAGGTTTAAAAAAATCACTGCATGTTGTACTTGAGAATCAAGTTCTCAAAGTAGAAAAGGTTGTCACCACTCACGTCCAGCTGTAATAAAGCTGGGCTCTTCTACTTGAGATGACATAGTTCTCACTGCAGACTGTGATGGCACTATCAGAGGTCTCAACTGGAAATGCTTATAGAACAAACAGTCAACGAAAGTAAGTGGAATGGCCCAGGGGTAATACATTAGGGAATGGTGGAGACTGTGGCCATACACCGGGAGCAGCTTCTTCTGACTCCAACTAATTGTTGTCATGCTGGCTCGAGTTTTCAGTTTTCAACATAGCTAGAAATGCACATTTTTATGTCAAATCTAGTTTATAAATATTCATAATTTTCAAAAATTTAAACCTACTAGAGAAATAGAGAAAAGGAAAAAAAAAAAAAACCAAAGGCCCAGTGAGCTGCCGATCTGTGGCAGCTGACCCATTTCCTTATTGGAAATAGACCCTGTCATAACATCAGCAGAAGAAGGGCCACCAGCAAGCAAGGAGTCCATCCTGGACAGTGGGCTCAGTCCAGTGGGGCTGGTGACATCATCCAGACACGTCAATACCAATGACCAGTGTGATAAGTCATTAATTCATTTATTGATTGATTGGCAGTACTAGGACTTGAACCCAGGGGCTCCTGTCTGCTACGCAGGTGTTCTACCACTTGAGCCATGCTCCCAGCTGTTTGTTTTAGACAGGGTTTCAGTACATAGCCTAGACTGGCTTCAAATTGAAAATCCTTTGCCTTAATCTGAGTGCTGGGACTACAGGTGTGTGCCGTCACACCAGGATTAAAGAGCCATTCTGATCCACACTTTTCTCCTTTTGCTGTACTGGAATTTGAATTCAGAGCATTACACATGATAACCAAGTGCTTTACCACTAAGCTACACCCCCAGCCCTAATCTGTACTTTTTTCTTTTTGTTTTTGAGTCAGGGTTTCATTATACAGCTCAGAACAGCTCAGGCCTAGAACTGGCTATGTAACCAGCCTACTTTCTACTTTTAATATTTTTAAATATTTATATTGTGTACAGGGAGGATAAGGAGAGTCAGGCTGGGCCAGTGAGTGGAAAACACAATAGCCAACCACCCGGCCTTGGCTCAGGAAATAAGCAGTAATCACCTTCAGCTACTAGTTCCTCGCCTTGGGGCCAGTTTGGTGCCCCCCCCCCACTCTGTAGTCTGCACCCTGTTTGTTCTCAAATGCTAAATACAAACTTCTCCATTGCCCTTGGCTGGAGGATGCTGGCTTAAATACCACGGGATCATTGTGTGCCCATCTCCTCTCTAACCTGTCCAATGTCTTCCTAAGCTAGGATATTTGTTTTTGATGGTATGGACGTTGACACATGCCATCTGACCATGAGCCTCATTAAGGGGACCCCAGACAAACACGGTATTTAGGGCTTTTCTCCTAATGGTGGAAATGCTGGTTCCAATTTTGCCAAAAAAGCCTGAACTGTGGATTTTTAAATGTTAAATCTTTCAAGTTTTAAACATTGATAGAACTTTAAAACATTCTTTAAAACACACTATAGTGGGAAACAAAGTGTCTGCATTTTTCTCATAGAATGAATGGGTTGAGCTAATTGAGTTCTAAGATCTTATCAAACTTTTAAATGAGGTCTGATAATGATTGAGGTGTTTATGGTTCGTTAGTATTTTGCTCTTGGTGAAACAACCAAATCAAACTTGTCCATATGAAACTAGCTTGTCAGAGGCAGTTTCTCTTGGGCACAGCCAGAAAAAGGCAGATGCTCTTTTTCTTTTCTCATCAAAACATATCACATATATACAACTTCTAAACATATTAAGACATGTGTGATACATCACACAAAATGCACCAGGCATCTGCTTCAGGGCAGGGTTGAATCTTGGTTTCACCATTTCAACTTCAGGGCCTGGCGTGGCCCATTGGGGAAGGCTTGGAAATGTCTGAGGAAAGTTCAAGTTCCCAGGAATATACCATGCTTAGGTCCACTTCCATAAGAATAATTGTGAGGTAAAAAATTCCACAGTAGATTTATATTAAATACTGGCTATCCTGAAAAACTTTAGATCATTAGCTATACACATCCAAGAATAATAAGTCAGATAAATATTATTTCTCCATGTTGTGCAGTTAAGACCTCTTCCCAGCAGCCTGCTCGCATTTGCAGGGAGCGCTCAGCTGCCCTGTAACTCAAACCTATCCCTACCTCTCAGCAGATACACGCTCAATGGAAAGCAACGGATTCCTGGACCTTTATATAAAAAATGAGAGCTGAGTCCAAAAATAAAGATACACCGAAAGAGTTCTAAGAGCAGATGTGCGCAAGTGTTGAGTCCCCCATGTGCTGCTTTTTTGTAGGGGACCTACAAAAGGAGCTCTTGAGGTAACTATGTAGAGGGCAGTCTTCTCTGGAGTACTTGAATAATCATCCAGCTTACTGATTGCAATGTTGTCTAAAAGCTGTGTTGACGCAGTTTTGGTGCCCTAGTTGGAGGTCAGCCAGGTCCCCTTCCATAGAAGCCCATCTAGTACTCTCCTCCCCAGCCATTCCACATTGGGCTGTCACAGGTCCGACCACAGTACACAGGCCGTGGTCACGCCAGGGACATCACTATGCCTAAGACCACAATGAATTATTCAAACCAGTCAACCCTTCTAAGCTTGCTTGCTCTGCCTCATCCGTTCCTTCCCTTGGAAACCACATTGAAGGTGCTTGCCCACAGGCCTCACTCCTTTTGCTCCATCAGACTGCTGGGCTTGCCCTGAGTAGCCATGGGTTGTCTGCTATGTTCTCCTCAGGGATCTGTGAGTATCAAAACTATGAACCATTTTCCAGCCTCTCTCTCTTGATCTGCACCTGGTCTCCCCAGTGCCCGACCAAGGTAAAATGGTTAAAACATGGTTGAATAAAAAAAAGAGTTGTTCATCACTGCCAGAAGCTGATCACGACCTCAGAAAAAGCCTCCATGAGAAGTTTGTCAAAGTCACAAAGGAGTGACTCAACATGTGGGCCAGAAAAAATGATAGTTTCCTTGTATAAAACCAAAAAAGTCATAACCCAAGAAATCTGTCATTTATATGCCCAAAAGTACTCTTCCTGGCACAGGTTTCAGCCAGCCATATCAGAGGGCAGTGATGAATGGGCACAGAGCCCTGGTTACCACAGGTCTTCTGGGATTCAGAAGACATGGGGCTAAAATGCAAAAACACCTCCCTCTGTGGAAAGCAGGACATCTTGCAGTGACCTAAGCACTGTGAGCCCTTGCTCACTTTCCAGATAACACATGGTGAACCTTCTGGTCTCCAACAAATGGACGCTACTGGGAATCAAAACAGGAAGGCCTAATGGAAATGTGCAGCCTCTGCCCCTCTTATGAAGAGCTGTCTGTAACGAAGGTCTTACCTCGCTGACATTTTCAACATGGACAGAGAAGAATCAGGTGGTTACCAGAGCCCTCCCCAAGTCATGAGTAGGTATTCTGATACTTCAGCACTTGGTAAATTGCCCCTAGCAAGTTTCTGGCACATATCAGAACACAGCAAGTTACCAAAGCACTATAAGCTTCAGAATAAACAGTTACTCACGTAAAGCATCTACATGGCGCTGCCTACATCAACACACCTTTCATTTCTGGGACACACAATTCATACCACTCCACCGTTTGGGACCAATGCATCTACCCAGCTTCACCTGCCTCCTACACAAGGATTCTTTCAGCAACACAAAGCCCAGCCATGGGGAAGCACTTATTGTTGCTTGCTAGGAGGGGCTTCCCAGCCAAGTTTTCTCTTCCTAGCCTCCTCTGTGTGGCTGGGATTAACAACCCTCAGGCCCAAAGCCAGTCTTTCTCTTTGGTTGCATCCTCTGTTGAGTCCAGAAAGCCAAGCATTCACTTTTCCCACTTCCCTTGCAGCTATGGGTGGTTAGGCGATCCCTGTGAGGTAGGGCTAGGTGGTATTCTGACAAAATTCTTGCCTTTCTGATAAATGAGAGAACTATGTCCCTCACCCAGACTTGGACAAGGATGAAAAATGATGCTTACAAGATGACCCCTCTATAGAAACACACATGGATGCTCCAAGATGAGGGTCAGAGGAATAAATAAACACATAGATGGTTATAATATTACTTCTGTAGAGGGTTTTCTCTGTGGCAAGGATGACCTTTATTTTTGTAAAGTTCAAATAATGTATATGTTAAGCCTGAACAAAAACATACTCTTAATTTGGACAAAAGGCCAGCTTTTGGTTCTCAACTTTTTTCAACTATAATATGGAAATACATATGCAATTTCTCTTTTTGTAGGTCACAACTATTCAGAACAGCAATTTCATGGGTCCAGCCTAATCGTTCCTGCCTGCCCATCCAACTTTTCTTTTAAGCAGGGTCAAATAAAATTAGTTAGTGAAGGTGCACAAAAATCACTACCACTATAAAAGACCATTAACTCTGAACTGCAACAGAAATCCCTGCTTCAAACACCATCCTGCACTGCTTTAATGTAGATTGTGGAAGCAGCACCCAGAATCATTCTTTACAAGGCAAGAACCCAGACCTATACCAAACCCATCCAGTCAGAAACCAGAGATGTGGTGAGGAATGTGCACTCTGACAAGAAACTTAGGTGACAACTCAATGTGGAGAAAATATTTTCTCCCAAGAAATAAATCAGCTTTGGGCTCTACCTGATCCCAATTAGTATGGGCTCCACCTCATCAAAAAGGAAATTATAAGGAACTGTGAGACGTGTGTTCTTTTTTCTTAGTAATCCAGAAGAAACTCCATGTGAAAGTAAAATGAGCTCTGTCACTAGCTATTTACTAGGCCTTGATAAACCTTGTTGAAAAAGGCAGCTTTTGCTACAAGGTGACTTTGCCACCCTACCACTGAATTCAAACCTCTTACAAAGTTCTCAGTGTCTAAGTTCCTGCAGGACAATCCAGGCAGTGGCATGCCTGGCTTTGACTTACCCCTCAGGATGTAGTTCTGATAGTTCTGATCAGCCTCGGCTCCCACCTTGATCAAACACGTCAGACCTTCAGCCACAACAAATTCATGCACCAAATCCTTGTCATCCTGGCAGGAAAGAAAAAGGAAAAAAAAAAATACCACTTCAAATGCAGTTCCTATCCATCTTTTATCCAGGCAGTGCTGTTCAAACTATGCAGAAGCCTTTGAAGCCAGAATGACCCCTAAGGACTATTGTGCTCTATTCAAATGAAGCATCTTAACTCTTGCCAGAGGAATTTTATAACCAGTCTTCACATTGTCCTTTGCCAAAGACCAATTATTGCCTTCAGGGCAATCTAATAAAGATAAAGCAAATGAATCCCTTGCCTGTCAGAAATATTTATAGTGTTCTGTTTTTCATTCTTCAAAAATTACCAGGCTCCAAGCTCCCACAAGTCCCAAGGGACTGGCCACATGAAGCTTTGCTAGATTTTTACTATAGGAAACATCCAATTGCAGCTTAGACCATCAAGGAGAGGACTCAAAGTCACTCTTGTGTGCCAACAGACAGCCCAAGTTACAACAGGCTCTGGCAAATGCTCTCTGAGAACTAAGGAAGCAATTTCTCCAAACTCCTGCATTGTACTGCTTGTAGGATCAAGAGGGAAGTAAGTACAGGATCAACTATTCACCTGGAGGAGCTGGACCATCCCTCAAATATGCAACCTCCATCTTCATCAACAGAAGCAGGACATGGAGGAAAACTCAGTGGTCATCTAATTCATGGTTCTCAGAGAGAGCTCTCCAGACCTACTGACCTGCAAACCCATCCACAGAGACTACAACAGGAGCCTCACCTGGGAAATTCCCTGGCCCCTTCCCTGACTTGGATAATAGGAAACTGCACTGCTACCCAGCAGGCTGAGCAACAAGGCCTCCAGGTGATGTGGAGGTTCTCACCCCATTACATTAGGATCAACTGGGAAGCTTTAAAAGGACTAGAAAACAGGACCCTATGCATATGGATTTGATGAGAATTTCTGGGGTGGGACCCAGGCTCTGCTATTAAATTCCCCAGGAAATCCTAAAGGGCAGCTGGTCTAAGAACCTCTGATCTGTTAATACTTTCTCTTTACAGATAAAGGGTTCTAGGCTTGGGAGTGACAAAAACAAACAAAAAAACTTGGCCAAGACCACTTAACTATGTCTAGCCAGTCCCCAGACCCAGTGGGTTTTCTGTAGTACCAAATTCTGGGGAGTCCATGAGACAGATTTTCCATTTCCTTCCCTGAGATGGGAAGATTTCCTTGGTTGGACAGTGCCTTGTCTCAAATGCATTTAGGAAAAGACTGGAACATCCATCTTCAATTATAATAACAGAGCAAAAATAAGAAACCTCAGTGATGTAAATAGTAGAAAGCTGAATAGAATAATGAAAGGTTGTTACTGTAGTAATAGTCAGCAACCATGGTTTATCTCTGAAAGAGAAAAAATACATGAACTGGCATAATTCTCCTGTGTCTACATGAAGGCAGCCCCTTTCATTATGCTATGGCATTTCTTTTCAATTGTATGGATGGGGGTCTTGAGCTAAATGTGGGGAGACACAGGAAAGGGTCCCCAAAAACCAACACAGCACTCCAGGGTCAAAGCTGGCTGATGGGGGAAGGAAAAAAGGAGCAGTGCTGTGCCCTGGAAGTAATGAAAGACAGCTGTGCTAACTCAGACTTTGATATAATCATGGCTGTGGAAGAAAGAGAAAATGGGACAATATGGTGAGTTTTTGGAAAATTACTTTATACTCATATGTATAAAGGAAATAAAAAATAATTCTCCCTCCATCCATATCCTTTTCCACCAGCATATGTGAAAAGTGGACATTTAGATGAGCTCACGTCTAGTCAGAAGGTTTTTCCAAGCATGTAACAAATGTTTATTACTTTAACTAAAACTAGATTCACACATGACTTCACAGCGAAAAAGTGAGAACAAGCTCTCAAGAAATTGCTCAAGCTAATCACAAATATTAATCTACCAAAGAACTGACTGTCTAGCAAAAGGCACTCAGGAAAAACACAAGACAGGCAAGACAGTGTTCATGAAAATAATGCAGAACCTTAACTAAAACGCATGCACATATGTAGATAGGTACTTTAAAAAGAAGCGTATACATAATAAATGTGGAAAAAATCTTGCAAATTGGCAAAGTTCTAGTATATATAGGCACTAATACATGATTCTTAAAACACTGACTTCGGACTAAAATGAAATTAAAATGTGGGCAGTAACGGGTAAGTGATTATTGTTGTATTTCAGAATTTTCTATCCTAATTGTACATTGTGTATCCTAATTATCCTGTGATCATTTTAAAAATACTTATTAGTCAAGGAATATTCAAGTTAATCCAGTCTTTAAAAGAACCTCCTTGCCTAGAAAACACAAGAGATGACAGAGGTATGGGTCATGGGTACAGAAGGTAACAACCTAAGCCTCAGACAGCTAGCCATCTATGTGATCCATTTACTCCCCAATGCACTGCTGTCTTATGGTTGAGTGCTGTTTTATGCACACCAGAGTGGGCTTCCAAACACTCCTGGGAGCAAGCACCTGAATTCTTGCCTACAGAGTGCCCAACCAGGCTGCTCAAAAATATTTGTTTAATCAATCAATAGTAGAAATTAAAGCCCTGAAAATTCAAGGAACACAGAACAAAGATTGAAGGGGTATGTAACAAGTCTGCACATGTTTAGGGTTTTTTTTTAACTTTTCAACTTAGAAAACTTTAATCAAGCACAAAAACAACCGAAGAGTCTAATGAACAACACACACCAATCAATTTATGCCAATGCTATTCCTTCTATCATCCTATCTTCTCCTTACCATATCAATCCAAAATTACTGCAATATGTATCTCCAACGTATAGGAGCTCTTCTTTACACGTTTTAAAAATAACTATCAAATTCCAGCAGTGACCAAATGTCTAACTGCTCATCGATACTGTTTCATAGTTTGTAGTAGGATCCAAATAACGTTCATACATGGCAATTCGTTGTTATGACTCTGAAACATCTTTTAATTCCTGGATTCTCTCTCTCTCTCACTCTCTCCTCTTCCTCCCTTCCCCCCCCCCACACTCAGCTTAAATGCTTAAGAAACCAGATCATTTGTATATTAGAGTAGCCCTCAGTCTGAATTTTTCTGATTACATGGTAGTTTGACATGTACCTCTGTCCTGGAGCATCTATAATTAGTTATCTGGTTATTTCACATAAAGGAATGGCCAAATTCAGGGTTGGTTCCTCGATTTGACCACATCATAGTATTTCTATCAGGAAGCACAGAATGTCTGGTTGTACCTCACTTCTGTCATGTTAGCAACTCTTGATGCTCAATCCACAGATTCATTCATTCATTAGGGGCTGTAAAATGGTGACAATCTAATTCTATTACTCTTTTCTTATTAGTTATAATATTTCTACAAATGAGACATCCTCTCAAATACTATTTGATTATCCTGAAGTTCAAATATGACAAGGCAAGATAAGTGTGAGACTCTGAAACTTTACCCACTTTCAAAATAGCTAGTTCACTGGGATTTTCTCATAGTGAGCTAGTCCCGAGCATCTTTTGCCCATTTCTCTTACCAATTCATTGTTATGTTTTCATATCATTATGAATTCAAACTTATTTCATATGTTTGGATCTATTGCAATTATTGTCTTTATTAATGCTTATTTTCCCATCTCTGGCCAACTAGAGAGAGACCCTTTAACTCACTTCTGAGTGCTTTTGGAAATAATCCTAGTAGAATTTGATAGCTTCCTGCTATCAATAGGTTCCAACTTTATTTTGTAACATTTCTTAATCCAGACTTGGAATCAGCCACTTCTCCAAGCAACTCTGGTTCCCGTTGGTGTTTTAGATCACAATCTCATTGCTAGTGATACTTTTTGATAATTAATTAATAGTTCTAGTTCTTTGTAGTAAACAGAGTTAGAAAAATGCTTTGCTTAAGGTGACATATGCTATTGGTTCATTCTGACACTTCCAATTATATTCAGGAATACAGAGGAGTTTTAACTTATGAATCCAAATTTTTAAGAGCTTCAAAATGACAAAATCAGAATCTTTCTCTCTCACACACACAAATCCCAGAATAGTAACACCAACATTATTTCTACCAATAATGTTATGAATAAACTGTGTATATGTGAGCCTGCTTTTCTTAGGGTCTATCCTACTGAAGGTACACAAATTGCAGTGTTTAAAAGTCACTTGGGATAGCTCCTTTCTTTATGGTTTTGCCACTAACTGGATACTCAATTGGGGGAAACTCAAAGCAATGGAGACCAGAGGCAGCTATGACTTGAATGAGGAAGGACAAGGAGTGATATAAGCATAGCCCTCTAGTCACTCAGTAAGAGCCTGGCCCAGCCATAATCAGGGGCTGAGCTGGAGAGGAAGATGTAATGGAAGGTGAAGGAATTTCACTTGGTTAGGTTAAGTAACAGGAAGGCACCGAGGGATAAACTGTGTTGAGTTTTGAAACAATTACTTAGCACAGCATAATAAGTTAGAGAGAGGGAGGACTGTAGACACAGACACCTGCCAAAAGAACAATTCAATTCATCCCATCCATTCATTTATTAAGTGGTACCAGATACTGCAAGGCACCAAAGACCTGGTAACAAAATCTAGGCAGCTAACAGACTACTAGACTCAGATAAGTTCCCTAAAGTGTCTTAAGTTATGTTCTAAAGTTAAGTACAGGTTTACAGGGATGCTGACTAGGGAGAGGGATCATTTGCAGAGGGCATCTCCAGCATGAGGAAAACAGAGACACACAGAGTGGGTGTGGGACAGCAAAACATCCTGGGAAAGAAGCTATGCATCCTGGGGCAAAGGTGCAGAAGAGAGAGGGAATGACCTGCTCTTGGAAGACAGCTGAGGGAAGAACTTGGAATATGGTCCAGGGGAGAGAGATGGGCAGCAGAGGCCAGACCAGGCCTTCAATGTTAAACCAAGAAATTCACATGTAACCCAGAAGACAATGTGCAAGCAACAAGAGAGAATGACCCCTTCGACTCCCTGTGGTGGGAAGCTAAGAATTTGGGGAGGCTCAAATGCAGGCAGTGCCATGGACAGCTGGTGCTATTTTCCAGGTGAGAGAAAGGCAGGCTGAACCAAGGCAGGCTTCAAAACCAGAGCATTTCTGAGATGTGTAGCATGAGGGAGCAATTGGGCGCCAGCAGCAAACCTGGGGATGCATCTCCAGAAATGTCCACAGGGAAAGGGGATTCTGTTCTGGGAAGAGCTTACAGCATAATGGAATAAAGTGAAAGAAGAATGGGACAAAAAGGTACAGATGAGATGGATTTGGAGCCTAGCTTTCCTTTTGGTGTCGGTGGGGGCAGGGGCTGTCTTATCATCTACTTCCTCTCATACAGATAGAAACTCAATCTGTCTAGAACTATTACTGACAATTTTTTAAAAGAATTTAAATAAAACAGGAACTGAAGAGAAATGGCACATACCCTCAAGTACAAACTCACAAGAGAAAGAAACAGTGGACCTGGACAAACACATGCTCCAAGCAAAGGTCACCTTCACAGACCCACTGCTAACTCTGCCCTTTGCCATCTCCGTGATTGTCTTGGAACCTGTCTGCACACCTGTCCTAGCCCTTCTCTAAGCTACTGACTTTCTCAGGGTAGAGATGGAAGGAAAGCTCAGGAGGGAGGAATAAGATAGAACCTGAGAGGAAGACACACACATGTGCATGTGGGGAGACATCCACAACAGAGGAATGCACACAACACCTTGTGCTGAATTCACACAATGGCACGCTCAATCAGACCTATGCCAGTCATGCCTATACCCATTCCACTCTCCACAAATAAGCTGAAGTAGGATGCGTGTGACGTGATAATATATATGTGAAGTTAGTACAATATTCATGTCAGTGAATATTTGCCATTAGGATGGAAACTTACAACAAATTCAATAGTCAATAGAATGGGGACCTTGGAGAAGGGTGGGAAGAGAGTGGTTGGTTTTGGGGAAAAGAACACAGGTTTTCTATTATATCCAGAATAGGCTTTTCTTTTGTAAAGAGTAGAAGCATGGAAAGTAAGCATGATTTCATAAAGTTGTCTTTGATTTTTATGTCTGAAATATCTGATGTGTAAAAATATTCTCCACTGATATTATGACCTAAGTTATAATGTAATCTAAGGAGACTCATTTTTATAGCAAACAAAGCTATAAGCTTCCACAGCAGGTGGAATTTTGCAGCAAAGCAAAAACAGAACCCATGTATACTTTTATTTTTTCCTTCTTACCTGAAATATCTGCTTCAGGGAAAAAAGAGCCCTTCTTAAATCTCGTCCATTGGAGTTATACAGTTTTTCTGAAATAAAGAACATAGCAATTAATTTAACCGACTCAGTAGATGGTTCAAGCACAGAGAGGATATGAAGGGTAACAACTTCTACTAAAAAGGTAACTAAAATATCTCCTCTATTTAGGACACAACCTTACCCTCACAGTGCAAAAAGTAAATCATATACATGCCTGGTCTGTTACAGATGGCAGGGAGAGGAGATGTCCAGGTGGTAGAGAAGGATTTGCCAGATTTGCACCCTCAGCCCCAGCCTCCTTCTTTCCACATCTCTATTTCTAGCTCTTTCCAGATTGCAGATATTTTCACTCCATGGTCAACCACACCCAGAAAAATCAATGCACCCAAACACAATGTATGCTTCCTGTCCTTATATCACTTTACTCCCATGGTTTTTTGCTCAGCAAGTCTCTAGTGTCCCTCTTTCCCTGGTCACCTGGAACACTCCTGTGGACCTCTATTCCTTGAGGCAGCACAATATACCCAAGGGCAGCATAGTCACAATCTAGACCAACTGGCTCCCTCTGGTTCGACGATGGCCTTCAAGGTTGGAAGTCAGCCTTACCTTTGCCCAGTCCTAGCCCCTCACTCATGTGAAAGGATGGTTGTAGCCCACAGCAAGACATAAAGGGGATCCTGGCCTCACAATTCTCTAGCTCAAGATGTGGGCTGACTTCTACAACCCAACCGTTCAGTCAGTCACACTTCACATGTACTAACTAGTCCAGGTCTTGCAGAGGAGGTGGTCAGCTCAACAGAGGACACACCCTCTAGAGATCGCCCTGAAGAAGGACAGACAGAAGAATATGCCACTGGGTAGTGCTACCAGAAGCTGAGGATACACAGAAGGAAAGGAGAGTCCAGTTCCTCTGGTGTCTGCTGGATCCCTGAGAGCATGGATTCTGCTCAGCTTCCCAGGAGCCATGTTCATCCCTGCCCAGGTGGCTCAGTTCCTAACATCGGATGCAGATCTCCTCACCAGAATCCACACAACTGAGCACCTGCTGGGCACTGTTCTAGACACCAAAGGGGCAATGGCAAAAAGTAGAATTAGTTAGAGCAAAGACTACGTAATCACATTACCTGTGTTCCAAATCATGTGTCACTATCTATCTACTATCTATGTGACCTTGGAAAAAAAACACTTTACTGTCTAAGCTTTGAATTCCCCATCTGTAAAACAGAAACAACAGATTTGAAGGAAAATATTTTGTGTAAAATCAAGCATTTACATGATGGAGTAGAACATAAAAATCATTTAAAATGCTGGATAGAAAAGAGTTCAAAGCATGTCATGCTGGTTGCTGACCATGGGACTTCAGTTCCAGCCTATGGAGGAAAGAGGAAGAGCCATGCTCTCCTTTTGTGTTGAGTGTCATGGAGTTGAGTGGAAGGGCATGGAACACATGTCTCTAGAAGAGTTTGCGGAAGTCAGGTTATGAGAAGGATACTCTTTCACAGTGGAAGTGGACAGGCCCCCACCTAAGACAGATTTAAAAGGATTCAGGTCTCAGTATTTGCATGGTGGTACCAACTTCAAGACTTCCCTATGAATGTCTTACCTTCTGACAAGCACCAGAAGGGTTGGCAAGAAATGACCACCTGATGACACCATTGCCCCCTTTTACTCCTTACTTGGTGGCCTGTTGCACTCAGAATGAAAGGCAAAAATCCTTTGTGTGGCCCACCAAACCCTTGATCATGCAGTTCTGGCCCTGGCTTCCTTCCCTTATTGGAAAAGAACCCTAGTGGTTTTTGCGTGATCACACCTCTTGGCTTCCCCAGCTAAGATATGAAAACCTTCAAATCCTAGAAACAGTCTGGGTTTTTGCAAGTACCACATCTAATAACTAAGAACAAAGCTAAGCTATCAGATGATAGCATGGACTCTGGATACTCTGAAGAAGTAGACCAGATTCATCTTATCCAGAAAGAACACTGGTAGAAAGGGGATTGGTTCCAGGTACCTCCTTACAAAGTGACAAGGCTTGCATTTGACCTTCTTGCTTAAGTACCACCAACAAGAAGCAGAAAAAGATCAAAATCTCAGAGTCTTTTTTGGTTACAAGTGATCCACCCTAGTTTCTGACTCACCTGAATGAAGATTTTGGTTAGTTATATTGTGATCATTAAAGTTTTTCTACTTGATTGTACAGTAAAAAATAATCTGCTTTAAAAATAGGACTAAGTCCTGGAAAATGAGTTGAGAATTTGCATCTAGATTCACAAAAAATATTGATCTATAATTATGTATTCTTGTGATGGTGCTAAAACTGAGACAATGCTGACCTCATGAGTTGGATCTAATCCTTCCTTTCTGTTTTCAGAATGAGTTTGTGTATAATTAGTATAGTTGATTCCTCAAATGATTGTCAGAATTCTCCAGGGAAGCCTTCTGGGCCTTGGATTTTCTTTGTTGGAAGGCTTTCAACTATGAATTCAGTTTCTTCAATTAATAAAAGGCTATTCTGATTATATATTTCTTCTTGAGTGAATGCTGGTAAATTATATCTTTCAAGGAATTTGCCATTTCATTTAAGTTACAATTTTCTGAACATAAAGTTCATAATATTCCTTGTCACGTTTTTACTGTAGCAATCTTTTATCCTTGATATTGACAATTTGTGTCTTCTCTGTTTTTTACTTATTCATTTGGCTAGAGATCCATCCATTGTATTAATCTTTTCAAAGAATCAGCTATAGATTTCACTAAGTATTCCTGTTGCTTTTCTGATTACTGTTTTACTGATTATTGTCTTCCTTCTGTTTGATTTGGATTTCATTTGTTCCTTTTCTAGTTTCTTAAGTTTCTTCACTTACTGTTATGAGAATTTTTGTTTTAAAAAATAAGGTATTGAATGTTTTAAATTTCTCTCTAAGCACTGCTTTAGCTACTTCCTGCAAATTTGGATATATTATGTGTTTATTTGCATTCAAAATTTATTAATATTGGATACTTCATTAAATTCAAGTGGGAATAATTTACTCCTATGGGATTTTTGACCTATGGCTTATTGGGAATGTATTGCTTTATTTATAAATTTTGGGATTTTTCTGCTACTAATTTGTAATTTAATTTACTTAGAGCCAGAATATATACTTTATGATATCAGATCTTTTGGATTTATTAAAGCTTAGTTTAGAGTTCTCCATATGACTTTTCTGGATAACTATCTCATGCACACTTGTAAAGAACATGTATTTCTGCCATTACTGGGTAGACTGTTCTGTAGATATCCACTACGTCAAGGTGATAGTGTCGATCAGGTCTTATATATTCTTACTGATGTTCCATTTGTTTGCTTCATAGATTGATGTAAATGGAGTGAAGTCTCCAACTAGTACAGTGGATTTATGTATTTCATCTTTCAGCTTTTATCAGTTGTTTTATCAGTTGTTGTGACAGCTTTGAAGTTCTGTTCTTAGGGATTGCCTATGGCTTTTTGGTGCATTGAACTTTTTTCCAATGTCCTCCACAGGTGCTTTGTTTATCTTCTACTCTGAACCTTAATTTTCTTTCTAAAGGATTAGAATGAAACAGACTAGAATAGGAGATAGCAAGTATATTGACCCTCTGTATGAGCAGGCTCTGTATTCCAAACTTTTATTATTATATGATATCTCTCTTCATCCCTGTGATAGTCCTTGTTTAAAGGTCTATTTTTCTGATATTAACATAGCCACTTTGGGTGAGTGCATGGTTTATCTTTTCCCATCCTTTCATTTTTAGCCTATCTATGTAGTGTTTCTTTTAGCTATAATTGTATCTTATTCGTTATACAATTCGACAATTTCTGCCATTTTTTTTGTTTTTGGTCCTGGGACTTGAGCTGAAGGCCCTTACCTTGAGTCACAACACCAGCCCCGCCCTCCCCTTTTTTTTTTGGTGATAGGTATTTTCAAGATAGAGTCTCGCGAACTATTTGCCCAGGCTGGTTTCAAACTGTGATTCTCCTGATCTCTGCCTCCTGAGTAGCTAGGATTACAGGCGTGAGCCACTGGCCTGGCCAATCTGTGCCTTTTAATGAGTCTGCTCCCATTGTATTTTTAACCTCCAAAGCACCATAATTGGTTCCAGTGGCAGGAGAGCAGAAGACCTGAGGGAGGCTCAGGCTCTGAAGCTGTCTCTCACCCTTTGGTAAGAACCATCCTTCTACAAATGCCAAAGACATCTTTAAGAAGTTCAAAACCCCTCCCTTAACTTTTTTTTTTTTTTTGCCAATTTTCATTTAAATAAAACAAAGTAGAATTTCTATTCAAGGAGTAAATACTACATAGTCTGATGGTCTTTAATTCTGGAAATAAAGTGTTTGTTATTTACTTAAATTGTTTCAATTCCAAACAAAGCTGAATGATAAAACAGTACTGTTCCCAAAGAATAAATAGTTCTTTTATGCAGGAGAATCTTTCTTACAGACTTCAGAGAAAGATTCCACAAATTTTAGTTTTTAATATCAAAGCTCAAAAGAACAGCTAAGCTTTATGAGAATATTACATATTTCAGTTGAAATGTCTTCTAAAACACTTTGCTTTATAATTCCATATCCTATAAAGCACTATGTGAGGCCACATCAGAAATCTTACCATGTGTCATCCATAAATAATAGCTTTTTCACCCTTCATACAAAACACTGGCAGTGGTATTTCATTTTCATAGACAAGGACACCCTCTCTCACAGGACCCCCAACCTGTCTCTTTCTTATGCAATCATCATTGTAACGACTGTCATGCACTGGTCCCTGTATCAGATGAGAGCAACACTGTGAAATTCTAAATAATGGTTGAACTAAAAATGAACAAAATATTCATTTAAGCAAATATTAATCTAGAATACTAGTATTTGGGAAGACATTTCAATAAGATGTTCCCTGTGAAAAACCAATACTGTGGTATAAGATGAAGTGATGGTGCTTAACTCAAACTCAAAATTGCCTCTATTTTCAAAACACAATAATACTAAAAAGCTGCCATACCTAACCTGATCTATGCTGTTGTTCTTAAACATACATTTTAGGAGATACCAGTTGACCTAGAGGCTGAGGAAAGACTAGGGACTGAGGATGTTTGTAAATGACATATAATTTGTCCTTTACAGCTGTAAATCCTGCTGGTAAAAGACGATCCAGCAGGTCTGTCACTACATCAGACACCCCAACCAAAACAGTGACAGCTGAGAGTCATTGGATGTGGCTCAAGGGAAACCTACAGGCCAAAGGAGAAGCACTGCTTCCCATTCCCAAGAGCCCAAT